TTTAAGTATATCTACATTTTGCAGTTATTTCAGCAAACAAGTACCTACTAGTAACAAATTGAAATGAATACAATATAGTATGACTTTAAGATGGGTATAATGGTAATATTTATTTGATTTGAACTTGGGTAGGCTATTAAGAGTTTTAATAATAATCAACCGTGCACTCATTATGATTTATACGTTTAGGACTTCAACTAGCTATAGCATATTATACTAAGTACTAACGAATACTTAGAAATGTTTGTTTTTACTAACCAGGTCCTTCGCATTCCAAACATTAATTAATTCAATTTGGTTCAATATCGTACAAAAGAATTATCCCAACTTTCCAATCCCACAATAAATTCATTATTTTCATCCTTACCACCAAACACATTCCAGATAACTCACTTAACATCGACAAGCACACGATCCCAGGGACCAATACTCTAAATCAATATACTAAATCAGAGTAGAGGTTAAACCAATACACTTCTATGGCATTTCAGTCTATAAAATACTATTAATAAAGTTATTTTTTGTACCCAAAAAATAAATACTAATGTATAGATTAGGTATCAACACTTATTATTTTATGTTTGGTTTGTCAAACGTTGAATATAATTGAATAGTTTCTCCGAAAAACTTATTTTTAGATAAAATAGATATTCAGAAATGTTCATGATTTTAATATTCATTTAGTTTTTAGAGTATATAGGTACTGGCTTATTATATAAAAAACAACAGATAATTAGGTATTATATTATTAAACAAGGACTAATTCCAACATTTCAAATTGCAATAACTACGATAATATAGTATACATAGGGTTTTTAGTTGATACTTCCAGTAAGTACCTATATAGCTGTATAAGTAAACTCAAATAGAGAACCTGCCTATAATTCCAGTGCTGATCACTACAACAGCGACTGGTGATGAGTTTAAATGAAGGCAATATAATCAGTGTTAGTGAGCCGTTCTAAACCTTATTCAACCGTTTTAATACCTTTGAAAATGCAATAGCAGTGCTTCCATAGTTCCGTTGAGTACATTCGTATAAAAACAAAAGTATAAAATGGTTTTTTCATATTGTTGACAGCGATCTGTACAATGCATTATTGCTACTTATTTATGTTTTTGTATCAAAACAACTATCAATGGAAAATTTCATAGTATTCAGTATTGAGGTTTCACTTTATAAGTAAGTAACTCATACTACAATAAATAATAACAGTTATAACTATAGGCATAAATGTATAATAGGTAAAGGTACACAATAGTGTGTATAAAATCAGCTTTTAAATAGTGGTAATATTGTTTACTATACAGCTAAAATACCTACCTATCTTTGTTCAACACTTTCCACTATATTAAATGCCAATCTTGGTTTCTCATTATAATATAATATTATAGTACTATATACTTACATCTACCACTCCAATTTTGTAATTATAACGATTAATAATAATTAATGAAATACGATACTTACGCTTAGAATGAAAGCTAATATTTGTCTGTTTTATTAATTTGTTTCACCCGGGTTGAGGGACTTCTGACTTCTTGTGCTATTTTGACAAAGAATAAAATACAAAATAGATACGTAGTATTTTGGAATTCGAATTTTGTATTCGTATTTTCCAATCGTAGTATATTTGAAAATTAACCGAAAAACTAATAAGCGATTCAAACTTTGAAGAAACAATTAAACTCTGAACTTTGTGATTCGTTACTTTTGAGTTTTGACTGCACCGAATGCCAATTAACTTTGATTGTATGGTATAATATATATCCTAGTTTAAAAATCTAATTAGCTTTTCGAAAGTCTTCTGATCTATAACCATTCCATCGAGAGTTTTCGGTAGATAAATTTTTTTAACATTACTTAAATATATAAAAATGGGTGTAACAAAAATAATAATTATAATTATTACTATTTACAATAAACATATTTTAACAGTGCTGAATACATGATATTATGGAAGACAGATAAAAGAAGTCACACAACAGTGACAGTTTTGAATAGGACTATTTTAGATTCTGAACGGAGAGAATGTCGGAATGTATTGGATTAGTAGAATGGTTTTTTTTGTGTCTGAATGCTTTTTGTCGAAGAAAAAACGCTTCGATCTTCAACTTTTTAAACTGACAAAAAAATTACTCAAAACCGAGGGTATTTATTCCCAATATCAACAAAATACATTTCTTTATTTTGTTGTAAATTAAAATGTTATGTGTGCCACAGTATAATAATTATTATTAGCTACCATCAAACAGAATATTCCAATTTTTTTTTAGATATTATGGTTAACTGTTGGTATTATACTATTATATTTTCAAAAGTGTTTTTATGTACACGGGTAGGTATTGTACAATACACATTTTAATAATATAAATTGCTATTTGCTAGGAAGGTCTTTCCATACATTAATATTATGTTTTTTTAATACCGAGAAAATATTTTATGAGGTTTCATTCACACTAAGTTACAGTTATTTAATATTTTTTACCAATTTACTAATTAACGTCCGTCCTCGACATCGACGGCGGTAGGAATATACATTTTTTTTAAGTTGATCCTAAATTTCTATAGATACCATGACTACATTTATTACCGGTTTGCAGTGGGATAATAAAATCTTGTCTTATTATATAACTTATCTACGAACTACCTCCTATACGAGTATGTTATTTATTTTATTTATATATTTATATAGTACAATATATACAGACTGTACTTAATAGATATTGTAAATTGTACAATATAAGAACAGTGGACGACAATAAGATTTACACCGTTTATATAATAATAAGAACATGTGGGCTAATATATGGGCCTGGTGTGGTGCGATTGTTGGCCGCAGTCACTAATATGTAGTGTGCTGCGGTCAAGCATAGTCCGGCGTCGATAGCTCTCGGATGGGTGGCCAACCGGGTTTTTAGCGACAAATCCTCACCACACATAAACAACTTAAAACCAATAATAACAAAAAAAAGTAATGTCTATAGTTGCCAATGCTAAGATCAATTAAAAAAAAGAAAAATAATCAGGATAATGCTTGTATTTTATTCAAATATAAACATTATTCGATTACCTAATTGAAGTGACTATTCAAGTAGCACCAAGTTTATTATTGTATAACAAAGATGAGAACAGGTTGAGTTAAAATTAAATAGGAAATTATTTAGCATCAAATAATCCCGTGGTTATATAGTGTATCAAATAATAAATTTCCGCCATATATTGAGTTTGATAACTGTTATAATTTATAAGGACTAACAATTCATTTTTTTGTTTTATATTGAACATTGATGTATTATGACAATATCTAAGCTATAACCCTCCCTAACGTTAAGGTATTTGTTTTTAATATAAAACATGGTCAGTAAAAAATTGGAGATAATAATGATGTATAAATCGATAAAACCGTATGACACGTTTTCATAATTTCTCTTAAAGTTTGGAATGTTCTGAAGTTGTTTTGTGAGGGGTTGTTTTTTATCTAAATTTTAAGTGTACCTTCGAAATTAGTATTATTTTTTTAGTAATCCACGAAGTGTTGTACTTAACAGTTGACTTCGTTTCTTGGGAATAAAATAATTCATTTTTGTTTCTCTATATCCCACAGGTAGGTACAGCGTAGGCATACACAATCAATTCAATCAAATTAATCCTTTACGTATTTATATAATTTATATGTACCTATTCAAAATACTTTATGCTACCCGTATAATAATAGTTTATAATATTAATTAGATATTAAAATTAACAATATTATCATTTCATTTTAACTTATAATCAAATTTTATAAGCCTACATTTAGGTAATTAATTATATATTTGATTGGCACGACAAACATTAATATTGTAAAATTTTTGTAGTTTCTTAGTTTTATACACGTATTACACCGAAAATCTGTTATTAACAAAAATAATCATAGGAGTATTAGTAAAAACTAAAAATACGATTTTTTTAAAAAAATTAATCTTCAACTACGTTTTTTTTTTTGCATATTGTATACATATTATAAGTTGAATAGTGATAACCATTAATAATTCATTTTCATTACAGTATGAAAAGAAAATATGTATCTAACATTATTATTGTATGAATACTCTTATAATGAAAAATATTGTTTATGATTAAATTTAATTTAGAGTGAAAATGAAATAAAAATATTTATTTGTTTCCGGCTATAATTTACTATTCTAAATACAATAAATCCATGAAATAAAACATATGTAGATCAATAAATTACAACATACAGGTACCTCGTATACCTACTGTATCATTGTAATAGTAATTACACAGTTTAGTATAACTGGATAAACGTGTTGATGAGTTGATGCCAGGATTCAGAGGTAGATGTGCCACGCGCTACATGCCTGTACTTGGGTCATGACTCATGATACAAATCAAGTAATCCGTCAATTTAAATTCAACAGATAAAACACCAAGACTGATTAAAGGCCGTTAGCGATTACGTCCCCAGATAGTCATTGGTGTATTGCTTCAATTATTAAACAAAATCGAGTCATGTTAAGTAATACTGCGGTAAACACATTATGTCTATAAATAAATTCGGTTTAGATAAGAAGTTCAGGGCATATAATATAATATATATTTACGTTATTGGGATACAAAAGCATATCCCTGGAGAGCCAGTGAATCGGTGGACTAGCAAGGGGTAAGCCCAGAGCCAAATTATATCTTCCTCGGAATGACATGGATCCGAGATTAGAAGGTCAATTAACATAATTTTATGCGGGTGGACGGGCAAAAAGAAAAGCAGGAATTGGACAGAATATATATATATCAAGGGGTTCTTTTATAATCTAACGAGGCATAAAATACAAAGTAACTATTTAAATTCCTTTCTTTTTATTTTTATTTTAATAATCGTTTATATTGTTACAAATAATATTTTGAACTCTGTTTGGTTATAAGTTATAACATTGCAATAGTATAGTATAATAATGATAATAATAATAATAAACATAGATTTTAGTGTTGTATAGTATGGGATGTGTAACTGTGTGTGTATAATATGCGGTCGGATACTCGGGTCGATATAAACATAATATTTTTGGCAGACAAATATTGGGGAAGTCTTCTAAGTATAAGTCCGTCGAAAAAAGGTGTTACAATAAATTAATAAATACAAATAATAACAACCGTAACGATAAATCGAATCAACTAGCACGATATTATTATTGTTATTATATTAATTTTTCAATTATTAAGCCCTCACGTTCAGATCGTTTTCGTCGTCGTCGTCATCGTCATCTTCGCTCACCTCGACGGTTGCAAGTTTTTCGAATCCAGCTCGTTGCTTCTTATTGAATATGTTGCCCAAAGTAAATCCATCCGCAGCGTTGAGTGTCCGAGGCTGCCAGCGACTGAAAGCCGCGTCTTTCCTGTGAGCTGAAACAATAAAACCGTATGTAATACATTAAACTATTAATGTGACGTCTGCCACGTGCCCGCGCACACATAAACGTATAAGCCTCATAAGCCACTATAATTTATATAATAATATAAGTATGGATATGTTATATATAATTTTAATTTATACCGACACTTGCATACATATTACAAGACGGTTCATTTATCACCATATAAAACATTTTCGCTCTAGGTAAATATGTTATTGAAAACATTTTTTTGTTTTACATAATTAGGAGTCATGATATAACCATCATTTTCACGTATGGTATTTTGTCACATAAAATTCCTACACCCACGCCCACAATAATAATAATGCTTCGATAATAGTATAACTGAGTGGGACGTAAGTATATTTATACCACGAAAAATAAATTGTGCTAGTTTTGGGAAAAATTGGCTTTTTAAAATATTTTCCGCTCTACTGAAAAAATTAAATGATACCCCTGACTCGAATTATTGAAAACATACCACATATTAAAAGTGAAAATACAGTAGACGGGATGATGTTTTCAAATTGAACATACAAATTGAACACAACTCGGTGGTAAAACATTTGTTGTGTATGTCGACTATACGATAGTAATACGTGATGACGGTCGATTTCAACGAACTACTTGTAAATAATAATCATAATAATATGTCTTACGTTATATTATACATTTTGTAATGTTACAAACACAAACAATTCATGTTTGAAATTTTTATATATTTCATTAAATGTGTAACTAAAAAAAAACATCTGATTGAAAAACAAAAAAAGAAAATAATTGATTTTAGAATTATATTTATTTTGTAATCAAAACTAACAAAAACATAAATTAATTAAACTGGTAAAAGGTAAGCAGTGTCATATTTAAGGGGAGGGGGGGAAAGGATAACCATACTATGCGACAGAACTAATTTTTAAAACCAGCTATACAATTTTGAATATCTTATAATAATAATTTTCAATAATCTATATTTATAACTAGTAAATATTTTCTTGTATCAATAACTATAAAATGTTTTAATTCTAAAAATGTTGGACCCCCGGAAATTTTTTTTTTTTACGTTTATTAATTTTTTAAATGTTACAGCACATTAGGTGCTATTACAAGTACGATACATTACATAAAAAAAATTTAAATACGCCACTGAAAGTAATTATGAAAACAAATTAATATTGTTTAAAATTAAAATTAGCAATTATCTATAAATACTTTAACAAATACCATAACTAAAAATATTTAGTTTCAAATAAAATATTCTATAATATTGAACTGGGTATCTCAATAAATACACGTTTTAAAAAATATAAGAATTACAAAAACATCAACCATGTTTTAAATAAATATTAAAGGAAACTGATATATTGGAGAAAATGAATAAAAAAAATATCTTATACATATAACATTTTGACAATCATCAACGTTTATACATTAAATGTAATTTAAAATCTTCAAGAAACAAAATAGAAACTTTTGAAACAATACTTTATTTTGTAGATTCTGTTAATTTTGTTATCTTTTAAACTATGGTATAAACAATAATGTATGTTTAAAAATGGTAACGATATTTTTACATCAAATGTTTTTTACTTTTTAAGAAATCACAACTGTTTGTGTTAACTAATTTCTGATTATTCTGTTAGTAACATTATTATTTTAAATTTTAATGCAACACTTCAGTATAACATATAGGTTAAGTTATTAGGGATCGTCCAAAATATTTTACTATAATACTGATTTCTATTTTTTTATTTGTCAGTGGAAATCCTAATTAACTTGATGAGAAAAAAAAAGTTTACTGGATCTACTTCAGATAATTTTTTTTCAAATCATTCAGATAAAAATTAATCTTGTTAAAAATTATAACGTTGTGTCAAAACAAATTTCCAAGTTAAATTTCTTGTTAAATTTTTTTAACTGTTTTACTAAGACATAAAAAATACAATAAAGCTAGGTATTTGAAAAAATATTTTTCGTAAATGAAACTGAAAAACAAAATCACAAATTTACTTTATAACCCAGGTCCCTGTTCTATAGCCCACTCAGCCACCCTCTAAATCCTCCTCTAATCTGTATGACTTGTTTAGTGTAGCCTGCCCATACACATATGTTAAGGTCATAACTTAAAGGTCTAACTATAATAAAAACTGATGGTGTTCCTCTATTGTAATCATACTTTTTTCTTTTTTTTTTATTGGTCTTGAAATTAATAAAATCATACTTTTATCATCATCAAATTGATACAAAAAAAATATTTTTAATTGAGCAATATAATAGACTAAAAACATGAATAATATACAAAAAAAATTAAAGTATAAATTAGAATCAGAAATATTAATTTATACATTTTATAATGAATGAAAACTATTCACAGTATTTAAATTATTTTATTTATTGTAAACTACTCAAGTTGGAGTACTCACCTATTGATTTAGTTCGTGTATATATTAAAACGGTTACGAATATAGCAGCAGTGAAAAACAAACCCACAGCAATTATCAACATGATCACTAAAATTTGTTTCCCAGAATTTTCTCTAAGACCAGGACAATCTAAAAGAATACAAACACAACAATATTAATTAAATACCTTTCAATAATTACTATAACTAAAATGTTAAAAATAAAATAATTTAATCTTAAATAATAAATATTCCTTTGCCCATATCATACATCTTTTCTTCAATTTTATAAGAGCAGCCAATTTCCAAAAGGAAATCTATAGGTATAAAGTAACATAATTATTTATATTTTATTTGTTTTAGATTTACAATTATTTTATGTTTAAGTGATTTTACATTAGATTCAATTTTAAGTGTGTTAATTACGTAACCCTACCAAATATTCTAACCTTTGTTGCTGAGACATTAAATAATCACAAAACTAATTCTTTTTTTCAGAAGTAAGAAAACTAAATTAAGGAATTAAAAGTTAAAATAAAATATCCACATCACTCACACCACTTGGTATAAAAAAAAATATAATTGTTAAATTTCTATTGTTTAAAAAAAAGTGATTTGTTTTCATTATCACGTGTCATGATAAGTGATAACCTGATTTAGAATAGCACATTAAAATGTTTAACATAATTTAATAAAATAGAATTTCTCAAATGTAAAAGATAAAATAATCGTTGCAAAAATCATTTTTCAATGAAATTTCTTATCTAGTTATAAGAAATTAAATTATTTAAAGTGCAAGTTATTTGATTAATAAATTATAAATTATAAATCAATATATTAATAACATATCAATAAAATTATAAAAATCTTAAAAATGAAATAGATACATCAATGAAGAAAATTTAATAACATATTAATAATGCCTATTATATTTAATATTGTATGTTTATGAAATTTGAAATTGTACTTTCATAATATATTTCATAATGTTCCAAAAACCTATAAATAAATTATAGAAGTCAAATTTATGAAATATTTTTTGTAATTTGTTTTATAATTGTTAACTTCTCCAGGGGAAAATAACATCAAAAATCAAGCTGCAAGACAGGGAATTGAACCCGGGCAATTGCTCTACCACAAAGCTACTCGACCACATAGACCTTGACGCTATCTACCCCAAGTTAACAAAAGTTTACATAATTGTTTCAATAGATAATTTAGATTAGTGACATGTTACCACAGACTTATACTTAAAGATGAAACATTTATGTCTTTCCCTGTGTGATGGTGCGGTCAAGAGAAGTAGAATTGCAGTGATGCCCATTCTTTGGATCAAAACAATTTTTTTTAATTTCTACAGAATAATTTTTGTGATATTGGAGGGAGAATACAATAATAATATTATTGTATCTCAAAAATTATTCTTCTGTCTTCAGTATGCATGTGCATAGAGTTTGGGTGCTTTGTGAGACACTACCTGTCGTTGAATGTGTCAAGTACATAGTGTTCCGTGTATAAGTATAAAGTCTATGCATGTTACAAGCTATATTATTATATTTAATAACCAATTATATAATAAATAATAGATTAGATGTTAGTTTTATAATTAATTTAATTATACATTATAATTATAAAACATATTACATCACATAGGTAGTAAACAAACAATTAATTCATAAAAATGAACTCAAAAGATTAAAAAGTTATAAAAACCATAAGCATATTACTTAACATAAACCAAATATTTTAAGAACATTAAATGTTATTTTATTCATAATTGTACCTACTTTCTAGCACGTTATATTTGTTCAACATTAACTCTTGATCTGAAACATTAGGTGTATCAACACTTTTGTTTATAAATTTGTTTTGAATATCTGAATCTAGAACATAAGTAAATTATTACACCAATAATAAGAAAAAATAATTAAATTAATTGAATTACTATTATTTACCTACCTAACACGAACTTTCGTATATGAGATCTTATAAGTTCCACAACATAAACAGATGTTCCATCTGGGCTTACAGCCATGTCATGAGGTCGTGAAAATTCGTTATCTTTAGGGTGGAATTGTCCAATCACTTCCAACGAAGTAGCATTGATGACAATTCCTTGTGCTAATGTGTCAGTTATTACATACACATTTTTATCATTAAGTACATAAAATAATCCACCTAAAAATAAACAAGATTTTTTAATGATTAAACGCGAAAACAAATTGTATACAAAATAGTTCATTTAAAGTTCAACATGTTTTTTGTCATCTTAATATAAAATTTTCAGCAAAAAAAGTAATACCATAAGTATTATTATGTTATAACTTTATAATAATTAGCCCATTAATAAATTGTATGTACCAGCTGCTGGTGAATACGCAACACTAAATAAACGTTGAAATAATTGTGGATTAATTTCAAAATTAAAGGTTCCATTGTTGGTGTTGAAACATAATACTCTGCTATTTTCACGATCGGCAACACATATCAATTCTTTGTCTTCAGCCAATGTCAAAGCATGTGGAATCCACAGTTGGTAAGGAGGCACAATCATTTCACCTTTAATTATATAAAAATTAGTACCACAAAATTTAAGAAAAAAATATGACTTAAAACTTGTGTATTTTTTTTAGTTTGCAGTACTAGTATTTAGTTTTTATTAATAAAATTAGGTCTTTTAAATCCTTTAAACATTAAATAGTAAATACTATATTAGTCAATTCAATGCCAAGTAAAATATACTCCTCATAAAGTATTAATAAAAAATATTAAGTATTCCAAACAATGTTTGAGAAATATGTTGTAAAATTAGTAAGACAAAATCTTTGAAACAAAAAGTTTTAATATTTGATTGATAATGGTGTTATTTATTTGTTTCAATTAAATTTTTTTTTTACATATTAAGGAGTAGTTTTCTATAATAATTATTTATAAAAAAAATGGATTGGTAAGAAATAAGAATTATATATTTTAAGTTATAATGATAAATCAAAAAAAATCTTTTAAAATAATCCAGCCACCCCCATCATTTATTGTAAAAAGAATCAATACTGTACATTATACAGTATAATACAATACCAAGAAATATAACAATAAATTAGTAAGACAGTATAATAATATAATCTAGCTAGCTTTGTATTATGTGAACATCCATAATATAAAACACCTATTACACAGAAAATGAATGTGACTAATGACCTTACAATACTTTATTTTGAAATAAATTTCAACAGTTAGAATCTTATGAAATTTGATTTACAGAGATATTGGATTTAAGTTTTTATTCATCACAAACAATCGATAGATTTTTTCTACAAAATTACAAACCAAGTATTAAAAGAAAATAGTAAGTTATTTTGTATGAATAATATTTTAGTGCTGTTTTAAATTGTCTCAATTTTAGTGAAAAGGCTGCATTTGTTTATAATATGTTACCATTTTTTATCAACCTGTGACTATAGTGGATCGGCCCCATTCCAACAGTACTCGTCCTTTAGCAGAAAATTTAATAATACGTGAATTACAATATCCATCTGCTACATAGAATTCACCACTAGTTGTTACAGCTACTGATGTAGGTTTGCAAAACTTGTCTAAGTCTTTCCCAGGTACAAATGCAGTACCAAAAGTCATTAATACATCTTCAGAGTTAGGGCCAAATTTGAAAACTTGATGAAGAGCAACATCAGTCAACCAAACATTATTTTCATGATCAACAGTAATACCATGAGGCATATAAAATCTATAACAAAAACAATATATGAACTATCTTTATTATAATCACTAATATCTTTTAAAACACATTATACCTGTGACCACCCCATCTTTTTATTACGGAACCATTTTTTGGATCCAGTACAACAACTACCTGTTCAGAAATTGGTCCTATATGTTTTTCTCTGTACACATTGTTTTCATAAAATGTAGTTTGATTCCATTCTCGATCCCCTCTATGAAATATATACACAAAATTGTCTTTGCTTATGGAAACACCAGATATTTGCCCAATACTGTTATCAATTTGATGTGGAAAAGGCCATTCAGAAGATTCATGTAAATCTGTCAAAAGTCAAAAACTTTAAATAAAACAAATAATACAATTATGGACACTATATTATGGTTTTGAACAAATCTGCAGAGGGCAGAGATAAATTAACTTTTGTGCCTATGACATGACATTTAATACCATTATTATATATTTGTATGCAATAATTATTTAAAGTATTATTTAATTTATTAAATATCAATATTTAAAATGTATTTGTATGATTATTTCAACATACAACAACCATTGAACATAATCATCTCATTTTTATAAATCAATGTATTTTAAATTAAAATAAATTAAATATTTATAAGAGAGATTCATAAATAATTGAAAATAGTAAACAAACTAACTTTGTATTGTCTCTGCATGTTTGGGGGAAATACACTGCAAAAATAATTGTTTCTAAAATTAGTAGGTATCTTATATCTTTATGTACTTACGAAATTGGTGGGACACATCAATATTTGAATTATCAGTATTATCCAGAGTATTATCCACTTGATTCTGACCGTAAAGCTAAAAATAAAACAAAATTATATGTTAGAATGTATTAAGGAAAACTACTATCTATCTTAAAATCATACATGTGCTTAATCATAATAGGTAAGGTGTATTCTGGATGTAAATGGTGTGGTCAGAAATGTAGATACAAATATACAATAGCTATTAACAATTGAAGTTAGTTTGAATATTATTATACCTACAGGATAACGCATGATATGATAAACATGTTAATATGAAAATACCTACCTAGTTGGTAACAAGATACTTTAATATTTTGTACCTTGTATGATAAACAGTAAAGAAAAGAATAATATAACTTTTATAAATCAAACCAATGTCTACCTCAACTGGGATCTGGTAACAACAAATAGTACACTAGCGTGTTACTAAAAAGTAAAAACAATACATAGGGACCTATTACAGATTAATATACATTAATATTATAATCTATTAAACCTAAATGTAACAGATGTCATCAACAATAATTGTATTGAGCTATAACCGAGGCTACAAAAATTAGATAAACAAAAAAACTATTGAATGGTTTAACTAATGAGTAATGGTATTTAACTTGCAACAATACAATTAATGTAACCTCGTTTAAAAAGAAGTAGGTAATAGCAGCAGTTTGTACTTGGATCAAAATTATGTGAAAATGTATAATTATGTTAAGAATAGTATTATAGTATTGGCAACACAGTTGTGTACCTAAGCATTTGTTCGGGAAAAACTGAAAAATAATTCAAAGATTTCACCCAGATCTAAGCATCGATTTTTACAAGACGACCAACAAGACACGGTGGTAGGTGGCATAAGGCCAACAAAAACTACAAACCTCTTCACTTACCCAACTGGCTACCTAACACCTATATGAACAATATATTATAATGTAGTACAACCCGTACGATCACCAACATCAGGGTGGGTACCATCAATATCATCAGGAGCACTCTCACCTGGTCGGAGACCGCCTGCTGCAACTGGACTGATGTCTGTTGCGGCTGCTGGTCGTCGGTTGACATTAGCTGATAGTCGCTACTGGCCAGATCGGACGCCAAATCGGCCGTGGCGGTCAACAAGCAACAGGAACAGCATGCGACCAGAGCGGTCAGGGCGACTGTGACCGACATTGTTGTCGTGCCCGTTCGCGTCCCACTGGCACTCACCCCGAAGTCGACGACGGGCACAGAAGCATCACCGTCCGAATGGTTTCCGGGAAACGGATCCCGGACGCACAGATTGACAGGATCCCGGCAACACACAACACAGCAGCTGCCACAATCTGTGGCGCTCGAACTCGACGGCAGCAGATCAACAAGTCTACCGTTATCATAGCGCGCGTGGGCGGACTGTGGTGTTTATCTCGGCGGATCAATACTCGATAGCAACGACGTTAGTCGCTACCGCAGATTAAACCATATTATGTATGTACAGTAAATATAAACTGACCCCTTCTCAAGCGCCATCTGTCTGACTCGTGCGCCTTTGGGCACCGTCAGTCCTTAGTTGGCCACGGCCGCACACGGATAGCGCCGCGAAAACAGTCAACGGCAACGACCCCCTGGCACAGCTATAGCAATATTCTAGGACAATTTTCACACAAGTTCTACTTCAATTTGCATCGCATAGGTATGACATTTAGATTAAAAATAATAACAATGCAAATTTCGCAGTCTAGTAAACAATACTTTTTTTTTTGTATTCTAATAAATGATTATAAAAGTATTCAGAACATGTACATACGTACTCGAATATTTTTAAAGTATATTTCTCCCCGCTTATTTTTGTCAGCTTTAAAATGGTTGGAAATTAACGTAGGGTAGGAAAATCATATTTTATTCAAAAAGAAAAACTATTGTTCATGATTTATAATGTGCAGTTTATTATCAACTTGATTTTTAATCGAAAATAGGCCTACCCTCTACTTCTATTCTATCCCTCTTGATAAGAATACCAAAATATGTAGCTAGCGGTTTCAAGAAACTACCAATAATTTGCAAATAAATTACCCAAACAGTATGAAAAATATAAGATGGAGGGGGGGGGGCAACTTCACGCTACACCCCCTTTTGAGATACGAATTGAAATATGCTGCTAACATTTTGCAAATAGCCGCTAACTTATTTATAATTTCGAGTCCAAAATCATACCAATCATTGGTGTTTATACGTAGGTATAGTTTACAGAATAATTTAAAATTATATTATGTAATACACAATTGAAATATACTACTTACAGAAGTATTTTAAAGAATATAATATATTATATTATCGGACTACTATTTAATATAAGTTTAATATAGAATAATTGTTTCTTACCCTTATAGTCTTAATACGTGGTAATATTACAATAAACATAAATTAATAATTTATTTATTAATTATTTTTACTCTAAATTTATATGAACATAACATGGGTTATTGAATATTATAAGCTCATGGCCATCAAATAAGAGCTCAAATTAATTAATAACAAATTTTATTTTGTTTTGCAAATAAATAGATTATGTTTCTCAGATCTTCAAATTGTATTCATTTTAAATTTACTTTATTAATTTTTAATTATTAAAGTTAGAAATCGTGGTTCGTGGTCCTCGTCATTTATTAAAAAATGACAGGTTGATACAACAAAAACATAGACTGTTTCAATCCTTTGCGGACTTTTTCTCATTTTGGTCCCGGATCCTGGAGTCATGTCACTATAATAGAATAATTATTGGTAAAATGAAAATTGAAAAAAATATAATTGATTTAATTAATTATTGATTCTTATTCCTTTAGTTATCTTGTAACAAACGCTTAGTATAAATTTAAAAATAATAAAATATAACCGTTTTGTTTAATTAAAAAAAAAGACATCTCTTATTGCTATAGTTGACTTTTGTACCAATGTACATGTCTTTTTTTTTACTCTTTCACATATAAAATTACACGTGGTTTTATTTGTGTTGAACTAGGGGTACTTTTAATTTGTCTTTGTGCACTTCCCATCTATTTACACGGCCATACATACGCTATATAATGATCATGTTCATAAAAAACTGCTCCGGATGATATATATCTAAAAATTATTTTAAACAATTAGTTAAATAATATATTATTTTGAAATAATTAGGTATATACAATACTTGTTATTGTCAATGGCCAGACTACACTGCAAGTCAGCCAATGAGTGCTCTTGATATTCAGTAAATTAATCTATTTCAATAAATAAATGATTTACTAGAATTTTCGTTACATTTAAAAATCCTAAACAGTTTAATTTTGTGCATTTAGTTTTTTTACTTCACTGTATTCTTTCAAACTATACTCCAAATCATTGAGATTGCTGAATGATGATTTTAAAATTATTCTTGGACTTGGTATAGTTTTCTACGTAGCGCAGTTGAAACGCAGTTGTTTTTCAACAGCGGATGGCACACTTTCAAACCACGAAAATTATAAGGAGTTGTGAGTTGTATACAGCAAATAGGTACATAAGACTGCGAGTAAGCTGCATTACTATTTTGTTTTTTAGATCTGGTGAAATTTGTGAAGTTGAAATTTTGAAAAAATTTCCAAAATATGCAAGCACAATAACGTAAAAATAAGCGGTTTCCGGCAAAATGTATGAAGTATGCAAAATATGCACATTCAAATTTTAGATTTGGTATGAATTTATTTCGCATTCTGCTACATTTTACAATAAATAAAAAAGTATGCAAATGCTATAAGTCCCGAACCTAGGTCATAAAGTTTTTTCCCCCGTCACTTACCTTTATGTGAGAGCCTTATAGTTAGGTACCTACACAACTGTGTATACATTACATTATTTATTACACTATAGTGTAGTAGTATAATATAATCACACGATTTTTTAGCAAATACTACACACTATTATAGAATAATATTGTTTGATAACATATTAATGCCGAGCCTATATAGAGAGAATATTATATTCACGATTAAAGTATCCATTTTTTTATTACTTCTGTAAATTTCAAAGCCCAATTTTTAATTTTTTTCATGTCTCGACACGTCTAGAGTTGTATATTAAGTTATAGTTTAACCGTTAAGACTAAAAACAATATTTTGAGATGCCGGACAAAAAAATGTAGTGTATATAAATGGCCTATACGCAGAGTTCCGTGTTCTGAATTGTATAGATTTAAACACTCGGAATAATATTATGTTTCGGAATCTGAAATAAAAAAAATATATCGTGTCATCCAAAGAATTCAAAAAGTCGAAAACTGATAACAACATATTATATTATAATATCTATCATCTATGGCAAAAACCGATGGTTGTCACTCGTCGGAGACGATCACAATTCTAATAATTTAATTTAACAAAAGAAAAATGTGTAAGGCAACAATAAACATTTGCTCACATATTTCATTCTACTCAAGTAATTTTTATAAAAAATCTCGATTTTTGCAGTTCGGGTTTAGATGAAGAAAGAAGTTCCTCGATATGGCGTCTTCACTCACGATTAAGGCCTTGCAGCTATATATTACCCGAAGAGTCGATGTATACGTAAGTTTGATTATACCTATTCTTTTGGAGCTTACATATTTTACTTTTTAGTTTCAAAATTAAAATTTATTGTCACAGACAATTTTCTACCTGTGTTAATTAGTTGCATATTTTTTGTTCCCGAGCGCGCAACACAAAAAAATACGCTTATAGAACAAATGACGACGGTATATCCAGGTCGCAGAATAATAACATATTTATACAATTAAATAGATATAAATAGTGTTGTACATTTAAGTCATACTACAATAGTACAGTACACGGGAGTTCTTATGTCCCGCAAAATTCAACAATTTTTATTTTTAGTTTTTATAAAATGTTGAGTACCTAATATAATATGAATATTACAATGCCGTCTTGTGGTCGAACCTCGAATTAAAGTGACGCCGTCGTACATCAAACATCAAATTATTTTATAAAGCTTTGAAAGTCGCTCTGCTGATTATTGAATATCTATCGGAAATTAAATAAGGACATTTTAAATTTTAAATATTCTCGAATTGTTTAAAATTTACCTAACCAATGCACTCAAAATTAATACATAAAATATTAATTATTAATTTCGTGCTCGACAGTATTCAGAGAAAAGATTTAACTTGGAATTTTACAAACTATNCCAATGCACTCAAAATTAATACATAAAATATTAATTATTAATTTCGTGCTCGACAGTATTCAGAGAAAAGATTTAACTTGGAATTTTACAAACTATAGTTGGTATATAGTCGGTATACAGTAAATGTGATGCATTAGGCACTGAATACCTTTATGTGTAGTAACCACATTTATTTACAATAAGATTTATATTTAATAACTCTTAAAAAAATAAGCTTGTGCTTCGAATATTTAAACACCACCTTAATTAATTATTAAATTAAAAATTAAAATAATAGGTAGGTAGTTTATATATTGTTGTAATTTAAATTTTAAAATTATAAACCATTTTGGTTATTGTTATGCCTCATTTCATAATGATCAAATCTCAAACTCGGACCTTCTTGATATACAATTTTGTAATATACCATATATCTATGGTTTTATCATATTGACGTACCTAGTATAAATTATAATGCAATCCGTGGCGATTGTCGAAGTAGTTGCAAAAACGCAATCGATCTAAAATTTCAGTTAACAAAGCTGCAGACATGAACAAGAAACATGAAGCGATCCGTACGGTTTTTTTTTTCATAATAAATCTCAATATGTTCAGTCGTATATCTGATTTATTCCGCAGTGCACACGCAATATCAGGAATTCCGCCGAAGCCCGAAAGCGTCGATGTTTAAAGTAACTAATTTTGGTTTCATACTTTTTTGGTGCTTAAATTTATTTTTGAAATAAAAATTTAATTTCATGAAAAATATGTTGCCCAGCTATGTACACACATATTTTATTTCTGAGAGCAAATGCATAAAATACGAGAGATCAAATAATATACAAACGCCGCTCGTCGTCGTCGTTTTTCTGCTTCCTGTTCTTAGGGTTTTTTTATAATTATAACCTATTTTTAAGTACTTGAAATAGACATTTATTATACGGTTTAATTTAGAAATACCCGTTATAAGTGATTACTCATAAGACACAATTTTAATTTATAACTTATCATTTTTTTTAAATCCAAAGTTAGCAGTTACAAAACACTATTAATTTAGTGTTATATATATTTCATTGTTCTATTATATATTAATATTACATTATATTATAGTTGTATCTAAAAAACAAAAATGTTCACAGAGTGGTAAACTCACTATCCTAACCAGTAATCAACCCGCACGAGTGATTATGAAAAATATTATACTTTTATAATAGTATAGGTATCTTTATATAATATAATAAATAGTAATGAAACAAATAGACACAGGCGTT